GCAAGTTAGCGTTCAGCGCGCTAAAATTTATTTGTATTTTCGATCAAATTGTGAGGAAATATGCTTAGTAATGTTAGATTGTAGTTGTACCTTTTTATTCAGCGGTCGCCACATGTACCTGTTCAGACACACAAGGTACTCGAATACCATACCGTAAAAACGACATTTGGTAAATTCTCGCTAGTGGAACTTGAAGTTTTTTTTAATCTTTTCTTCTTTGGAAGCTTTGCTAACATGGTCTGTGTATAGAGATTACTCCCTGGAAAATCCGCTTTTACGTTTACGTTTACGTTTTTATTTGGGCAATTATCAACTTTCATTACGGTAACGTACAAACATTTCAGCCAAGTGACAGATAACTCTACACAAAAATGATTCGAGAAGGAGGAAACGCAGAATGACCAGAAACTGGAGACAGAAACAACACGAGAGACTGCATCAATGACATTTTCCAAACTGCGAGCTTAGAACACGCGTTCTTGCAAAATCGAGGATCCAGAATGCACAATGGTAAGGACCTTAAAATGAATAATTTTTTCGCTTTATACGTATTATGGGCGGCAACATCAGTCGCAAAAACCGATATCGCGCAAATCGCGAAGCGATGGTTGCGATATCGGTTTTCAAGTATAAAAACAAACAATATTACTGCTCTTTTCTTTTTTTCTTATTGTTATTCAGTTGAGCGATTCAAGGAAAATCTATTAATCGACTTGTGAATTCCACGTTAAATTGCGCTTGAAAATCGATATCGATAGCGATTTTGTGTGCAATTTAACACGGAACTCACCTGCCTGTAAGGAAATTGTGAATTGCCAAATGCGACGGTGATGTCGGTTTTGATTAGTCTCAGCCAATGGGTCCGTGATTTTAGTCTCTGACTCTTTACAATTGTCCGCTTTGCTTTCTTATGATGGGATTTTTTCATTGCATGTCGGTGCGAGATTACCTGAGTAAATCCTTGGATGCAAACGTCATAATTGGGTTACAACATTGGTGACTTTTTTTCTGACGTCAAGTCGAGCTCAAACAAAATTCCTAACTTTGTGTTTGGTGAATATAAACCAAAATAACTTATCCTACAAGATATATCAAAAAGAATAGCCAAACTATGTTTTCTTTTTTATTTTGTCCAGGTTATGCATAGCCAATATTGATCCCTTCACCATGGTCGTGCCCACGTCTGAAACAGCTTATGTCGTGATTACCACTGTGCTCATAACACTCGTTGTTGTGGCCATCGCAGGAAATACACTGGTTTGTTTGATTGTAAAAAAAATATCGCCAGAGGAGGTGTGCATTTGGTTTTTTACTTCACTTTTTGTAAATGGTATTGAACATTTTGAATCACTTGTTTTACTCCTATGTGCCTCCCTTATGCTCCTGGTCGTTCCATGAGGGTAGCAAAGGGTGATTACGACGTATAACTATAAGGCCAAAATTAATATATGACGCGTAAATACTAATACAGAAAGTAGTGCGCGATTCCAGAATTTATGAACCAGCATAAAGCGTTATTTGTCTCCTGAAATAATTATATGACTTGTGAAAACCTCAAGATTTCTCTGAAAATCTTGTAAGCAGGATGAGAGTTTTGAAGTTTTTCCTTTATAATTTTATGCACTAAGAAAATAACAATCATACATTCATACACACTAAACAAGAAAAGAACAAGCAAGCAGCCAGGGAGCAAAGAAAAGAGAATTGGTAACGGAGTAAAAGTAAAAGGAAAATGTTCAATTGTCCTAGGAGGAATTACTGACATAGTAAGACAATGTTCTTCCCGATTTATTTAACCACCGCGACGGTGATGCGCATTTCTAAAGGCTGTGCGATTCAGAGAATGCCAACATCAGAAGTCTTCCTGTAGACTAATGGCAAATGCGGGTTCTAAAGTCGAAGGTCACCTTAAAGTGAATCACAGAATAGGAAAAGAGAGCACGTGAACAAGCTACGATGAAATCTGGACTATGAGATCCTCCGAGACTTGGTGGACGCCCTGTATCAAAATATTTACTATAGTAACAAAACCAGTAATTGTGGATTTCTCCATACAAGGTGGACGCGAATATCAGAATGAAGCCCTTCTGTTGATGATACAATGTAAGACAGTCAGA